TGAGTGGCAATAGTCACCACAGTATTATTAATCATTATTATTGAGCATAAGCATTTTCTCTTGATAAAAATGTAAATATTTCTCCAGATGTCTGGGCTGAAGGTGTGTTTGAAGCGTCAGGCGGTGTCTCCTGGCTGCGGGGTCTCGAGGGCCTTCCTCAAAGCTCAAGCTCTGCTGTTTGGAGGCTACAGGGACGCACTGCAGGGTGAAAAGGTCAATCATTCAAAAGGCTTATTGATGTCATTAAGTCTTCAGTTTGTTATAATAACAATACTAACAGTGCAGTAAATGATTAAATAGTTCAAATGTGTTTAAAGTGTTTTCTGCATTTCTGTTTGTTTATTTATATGGGCAGCTCGTCATGCCTATGTGCATTTTGGGGAAACATTTTTCTCTTTTGTTGTGTCAATAACACTCTACTTTTTTTCTACAGGAGGGTGAGGTGTGGTTCAGTGAGGAACTGTTTGTAGAGCACAAGTCTTCCAGCATGAGGCACTTCCTAGAGAATGCCATTCATCTACAGTCCTTCAAACAGGTGAGCATTGTGCCTCGTGTGCTTTACTGCCCTCTGCTGGGCACTGCAGTTACAGCTGGAGAAGAGCTTGTTGGGCAGAGAAAACAAATGAAATGCAGCTGCTTCAAAATGTTTCTGAAGTCCTTTGATGCTGATTTATACAGTAATGGACGGAGTGTTGTTTGCTACATCATATTACTTGGACTGGAAGTCATTCTGGTATTACTCTACTGTACATGAGTAAGCATTTAATATAATTTAGAAAAACATATCAAAATGTGTTTTTGTAGTTCATTGAAGGTCGCCTGGATATTCTGAACAAAGGGAAAGAACCAGATGACCTCTATGAAGAGGAGATCTTAAAGTGTGAAACAACTGCAGGTATGTGTGTGTGTGTGTGTGTGTGTGTGTGTGTGTGTGTGTGTGTGTGTGTGTGTGTGTGTGTGTGTGTGTGTGTGTGTGTGTGTGTGTGTGTGTGTGTGTGTGTGTGTGTGTGTGTGTGTGTGTGTGTGTGAATATGTATTTTATTACTCAGGTATCACTCTTCTCTTACCATTGTGTTTTTGTGTACTCATAGGGAGAAGCAAATCCTATCAACAGTTAGTTGGTAATTTGAAGGTAAGCTATTTGTATTATTATTATTGAAACCGCTTAAAGTTAATTCTTGTAAGTCCTTGCCAAAAATACAGTATGCACAATTCTGACAGAAAGGGGGAGGAGCGCTCATCCTTAACATGAAGTCCAAAGCAAACATGAGGGTGAGTCCTTTTTTTTTTGTAAGGGCAAGTGAATCCAGTCATATAAAAAACATTTGTTCATGCTGATTTTAATCTCTCCCAGGCCAAAGGTCTCACAAAGTCTGGTTTTAAAAACCTGCTGTTGCACAAGGTGGGTCAGTGTTTATGTGGTGTTGGTTTTTACAGGGATCAATCAAATGCTGCTGTTGATTTATTATAATACTTATTTGTTGTGTGTGTGTGTGTGTGTGTGTGTGTGTGTGTGTGTGTGTGTGTGTGTGTGTGTGTGTGTGTGTGTGTGTGTGTGTGTGTGTGTGTGTGTGTGTGTGTGTGTGTGTGTGTGTGTGTGTGTGTGTGTGTGTGTGTGTGTGTGTGTGTGTGTGTGTGTGTGTGTGTGATGCAGACCCAAAATGAAGAGAACACCCTTCACAGGGGAGGATCTGTGAAGCACCGCCGTGCCCAATCGGACTGCTTGCAGAACCGCCTGCCAATCACTCAACACTTTGGGAGGGTGAGAGCTCATCAGTAATCAAATATTTATTTAAAAAATGTCTTTCTAAAATGTAACAAACATAACATTATAATAAGATACAATGACTACTGTACATAAATGAATGAAAACCAAATAAATTGATAAATACTAATAATAAACATAATAATAATGGCCATGTTTGTTTGCAATGATTAGTCCATAAGCCAGAAAGCGTTATTGTGGCACTTTTAGTTTCCCCTACAAGATACCATTCACATGTATACTCTTTATTAATTCATGTTCTTATTTGTGCTATTTTGCATCGTTTTTGCTCCATTTCTATTGCCTTGTTGTGGTCCGCCCCGACATCTGTCACCTCTGTTGTGGAAATGTTGCATTCTCTTTGCTTCGTTACTCCATGTTGCCTCCTGTTAGTCACGTCCCCGTCGGCCTGTTCACAAATGTAGGTCCCCTGGAGACGAGGAAGACGTGCAGGACACTGGGGAGACATGGGATGGGTGAGAGTCTGAGATAAACTGAGAGATGGAGAAAAGTGGGAAAACCCTGGGATTGATGTAAATATTTTAAAATATGTTTTACTCTTTTGTGCCATTCCTATTTGCTATTTCTGTGTATCAGAGCTGGTTCTGGGCCTGTGGCCGAGCTGGACTCTGATCTGCAGAAGGATGAGGAAGATGGGGAAGATCCACTGCTGTGTGACCCAGAGGAGATGGATCTGCTGGGGGAGATCTTTGACACGCTCAGCTCCCGGAGCTCCAATGAGCGCGGCCTCCTGTACGCCACACGCAGCCTGGATCTGTTTGGACCTGACAGCCATGACTATATCAGGAAGGTAAGAAGATGAGGTGGCGGATGTTTGTGAGGTAGAGGGTCGTCCATCAATCGAAATACATTGGTTTCATTCCTGGCCAATGCAGCCCACATGTCGGATGTCCTTGAGCAAGATACTGAAACTGATATTGCATCCAATGGCATGGCCAACATGTGTGTGAATGTTGTTCTCCCCTGAAAAGGTTGTACCTTGAATGACCTCTGCCTCAGCACGTGAATGTCAAGTGCTTTAAGTGACAGGAGATAAATGCTTGAGGATCTAACACACACTGGTCTTACTCATGCCGTTGTGTTTTCTAGGGTGGTTTTCCAGCCAACCCGAGCCAAGAGAGCCTGTCTCTGTCCATCAGCGGCAGCGGCAGCCTGCACAGCTGGAACGTAGAAACCATGGAGGAGCAGTCAGACCTGACAGAGGACTCTGATTGGCTGTGCCTGGACACCAGCGTACCAGAGGAGGACAGGACAGAGAATCCGCTGGCAGTGTGTGACATAGGACAGCAAAAAGGAGGACAACAGGAAGAAGTGAAGGTAGCAATAAATGGGAACAAAGAAGAAGAAATAGATGGTGGAGGTAACTTTAAGGAAGTGAAATTAGAGGAAGAGACAAAAGAAGTGGGTCAGGAAAAGAGAGTGAGTTTAGGAGAGGAGCAATTGATAGGAATAGGGGATAATCGTGAGGATGAAGGGTTGAAAGAAGAGAGGGAAAGCGAACAAAGACAGAGTGACGAGGTAGCTGAGGGGCAAGAATTGGAAGAAGTGACAAATGAAATGCAGAAAGGTGAAGCAAAAGGAGAAGAGGGAAAAGAGCAGGAGAAAGATGATTTAAACAAACTGAATCGTCATCATCCCAACGCTGCGGAGGAGCAGCAAGAACTGGAGGACAATCTGGAACCCACATCTGGGCTTCAAAGTCTCATTGTTGACCCTAAACCTCCAGAAGGTCCTGTAAAAAGTAGAGAAGAAGCAGTAGAGAAACAGGAGCAAGACACAAAGCAGACCCCCTCTCCTCCTGAAGTGATGTCTGCTGAAACACACGTCCAGTCTCAGGCGCAGAGCCACGGCTTTCAGGTGAAGGCCAGGATCCAGGAGCGGTCTGAACCTGAGAGACCCTGCAACACAGTTTGGAGCAGGGAAAACACACAGACTCACCCGCCATGTGACTCAAATATATCAGAGAAGAAAAATGCCTCAAAGAATGGTGAGGACGAACCGCCTCTGATCAAAGTGTCTGAGCTTAAAAAGAGATTTGAAGCCTAAATTATATTTGTATTTTAACAAATCCAAGGAAAAGCACCAACATGAGCAAGTGTGTCAGCACTGATCACTCCTGCATATCTGTGACCCAGACCCTTTTTAAAAACGTTTTAGCGCTTTAAAAATAGGACACATATATAACGTTTCATGTTATTTAAAATGACTCAGTTAACCTAAAAAAGGATTGTAGCTTTAGGAAAATATTATACAGACTTCAATAGGTAGCGCATTCATTGTGGACTATTGGGGATTGGGACGATACAAAAGTGTCAGTGGCTCAGTGGAGTGTTTTTAATCATTTTTGGTATATGGAGTTGTTGTCGAGAAAATCTTATGGAACTTTGCCAAGATTGACCAAATATGAACAGATTTGTAGAACTAGGAAATGTAGTTGAAATGAAAGAAATACATGAATGTTTTGCATTTCTGCTACTGTATGATGGCCCATTTGTCATTGACACATGAATATTTGTTATAAGGTGTTTGAGAAAGTTATTAAATAAATACTATAACTGACAATGAGGATATTGCATGTCTGGTCTTCACACAGAATATGAACTTAAAGCGTAATAAACAAACTATTTTGAAAATCTAACATCCCGTTTCCTTCAATATTCAAAGACTTGGGTACAAAAAAAAGAAGGTATTCACATACCTGGTTTATTAATAGAACACCTCGTGTACCACACATACTGATTTAGAGACATTGAGCTCCTTAGAGCTTGACATAAAAGTGCATCACAGTAATCGTTTTAATCAATATCCTTCATAACTGGAAATAGTGTAAAACACAAAATGTTTTAGATATAAATACACAGAACAGACAGTACAGTACAAATATACTCATCTCCCTACAATACAAAATATACTTCAGCTCATGTTTCTTATCCGGCAAAACAACGGGAGTGAGGGATTTTTATGAAGCAATACAACAGGATCTGAGATGACACACATTTTCCCTTCCCATGCAGTGAGTCGGGGGGTTCGATTGAAAGTCTGATCTATGCATTTGTTGTCCCCAAGAAGAAAAACGTGCAGCACAAATAGTGTTTTTGAAGATTTTCTGGCGCCAAAGGCAAACATAGATCATTCTAGAGGAGCGCAGCACAGAGACGTCAGAGAACAGGAGGAATGGATCCACAGGTCACACAGGGACAGAGGACAGCGGGTGGGTCCACCTCCAAACGTCTGTCATATGAGGCGTTCCTCTTTAGGCAACGGGAGAGGCAGGCTTTGTTTTTCGCCCCCCCCCGATCCCGTCTGTTTCCTCTCCTCCGCACTGGGCCTGTATGTTCCCTCCATCCTCCTTTTCTTCCTGATGACACAGAGCAGCAGCAGCAGAGCCAGGCTGAGCAGCGACAGCACGGTGGAAACCAGGATGGACACAGCAGGGGCCATCAACACCTGCATCACCATGGTGACAGACAGCTGGGGAGGGAATCACGGTGGTCAGTCAATGTATAACTACCAAACTATTGATTGGTTACATTCAGCATGTTAAATAGTCTAGGAAATGATTTTGTGCGCAATATCCAAACCGTTTCCTGGAGAGAACTTAGCAATTTGATACTGAATATTGGAGGTGTTCAATTGGTAGCTTCCAATTAAAGCATAACCTATATTTGTGTTATTTAGTAGGTCTGGTCAACTGAAGAAGTAATGATGTGTAATTTGTCTACAAGTAGGCAAATGGAAAGATTTTAAAGTGTCACAATTGTTGATACTGTTAAATCATCAAAATATGATAAAAAGATGAAAACATACTGGAAAAATACCTCATAGCTTGTCTTAAAATCCTTAATATGGTATTCATAAATTAAGAGTAAATACCTTTTTTTTAAATAGCAATATTGGACGAGCCCTACATGATGAATGCTTAAAAGCAAGTTGTATTTTCACTTCCTTGATTGAGATAGACGGCTTTTTTGAGGATATTGATGATTGTCCCAGAATGGAAATTAATCGCTGTTCAAACCTATTTTTTAATCATGATCCATACTCATCCAGTATGATACAGACTTATTTTCCTTCTTTTAGAGTGGTGCAGTGACGCATCCTAAAACCCGGAAGTAAGCTGCGCATGGGTACCTTCCAGTTCTATCGATCATAAATCTATAAAAGTAGGGTAGACATGTGGAGATTATCCGTCTGAACAAACCGTGATCCGTCTCTTCCGGGTTGGATGCGTCGCTGCACCACTCTATTAGTACACAAATACATTACTCCTTGCCAAGAAACCTCCTAGGAAATAACCGACCCTTTAAATGAAATGATCCCCAAACAGGTATACAGGGATGAGATCATCCAACAGCGCGAAGTCCTAAAAAAAACCTACCTGGTGATGAGGAAGTACTGATCAGGTCTGTGAGGCCTGTGCCCTTACATCTGGACCAACACTGTTAAGATAGAAACAAAAGAGGAATCTGAAAGATAAGAAAGAAAGCAAATCAGGCATTGAACAAATGGGTGTCATCACAGCCAAAGATTTCATGTAAAAGAGAAAAAAAAACAATGATCAAAGTCAGTCCCCATTTAGTAATAGCAAGTCCATGTCAAATCGTGTTTTATTCCCACGCATTGTGGAGAAAAGAAAGGTTAAGCATGTGTTTAGATGAGAAGGGGGATATCATCTCAAGTGCACAGATTGACTTTATTTGGTGTGGTGCAGACAGTTCAAGCTCAGAGAAAGACTAAAAACACAGTTCAATGACCAAGAGTTATAAAAGGAAACTGTAAGGAAATATTCTTGTTTCAGGCTTCTATTCTAAACACTGACTGCAAGACAGCTAAATATTAGGTGCAAATATGTCACTGTAATGACTTGGTCAAAAGATCAAAGACAGCATCTAAAATAGTCGGGCTACAAAACAACTCTTGTCCCATGTACGTTAAACCTTTAATATTATTAAGTCCAATAGAACAACTCCAGGAAGTAAATACTTCAAACCACAGGTGAACACTTCTCTTCTAAAACACACAATAAAGTTAATGTTTCACAGGCAGTATTGCAGCAGTGCTGTTGTTTTGGATTACATTACATTCCTTAGGGCAGTTGTAGTTTATATTCAGCTAGTGTATTGCCTACAAAAGGCCAACAACATAACGCTTGAGGTTAGCAAAAATAAGAAATGTGGATTTAGAAAAAGCATTGCAGCTTAACAATTATTCTGTTAACCTACTAACAGATAATGAATGTTAATATTTTAAAAATCAAAAACCATTTCAGTCACTTTTTTTGCTCACAAAAAACGCACTTTTACAGGTAGTCAAATATGATGCTTCTTTTCCATGTAAATACATATCAAATTAGTTTTGAGGCAACTATTTAAGATTAGTGTGATGCTCTCTCTGTGATGCTGTGATTTTGATTTCTCTGTCATTTCTACATTTTCATAGACCAAAGAATATAATCAACAGATTAGTCAATACAAAATAACTGTTATTGCAGCACTAGTATGCAAACAAATAATTAAAATAAAGTACCCTCAACCTTCACATTTTAAGTTTTAACTTGTCAAATTAAATGAATATGTTGCCTGGTAAATGTATGTACAGAGAACAGGAAACTTCCTGGTCCGAACCGAAAAAGTAATAAACTTGTAATTTAAGATCCTTACATCCTTTCACGTTATAGCAATAAATCATTGTTAACGTGTGAACAAACTATGAAAAAGGTCCATTTCCGTCCTAATCCTTGATAAACTAAACACACGGACACACCCACTGAAGTTTGATATTGGTACAGGCAGATGTATGTCTGCGCACGGCGGAATGCATGAGGTCCTGGCTGCTGCACCTGTTTAACCGGTGCTCTCAGCCCAGGTAAACCGCTGAAAAGTACAGACATAAAGTAGTCTCTTAAGGCTCTGTAACTCTAGAAGAGGCTCGGAACATGTTTCGTTTGGGCTCGACTCGTAGGTTAAGTGTTGACCTTTTTTAGGGGATAATGGATACATTCAGAGAGAGTTACCTTCCGGTTACTGAGCGTCCGTCCAGGTGAGCGGACCGACGGCCTGTGGTGACTCTTGGTTCAGAGGAAGATGCTCTGGCAAAGCGACAGGACTCTTAATCCCGTCAGGTGCCGGTGTGTTCGCGACATAGCTCAAACTATTTTCTCCCACGCTCACCTGCATGCCCACATGTAAATGAGCCCGATCACGTGTCCCATTTCTTCCAATCAGGAACAGCTCCTTATCTCTCCAACTTTTTATTCTGTGCATGTCTTTCTTTATGTTGTTTATCTACTTCTTTGTTGGTGTTGCTTTTTGGCATTTCAAATGAAATGTTATTTTCAGACTTTTTTTATTTTTCCATTCAATTCTTTATATTGAATTTCGCAACATAAACCACCTTTCTCAGTAGAAACCTGGATTGATTGTGTTTTCCAAAGCATCAATCTCTCTGGTATCGGTTTAATAATTAGAGAGAAAGGCCTTCTACGAGATTAGATCTGCTGTTGGTCAGCAAGGACAATTTGTTTTCTGGCATGGCCTTGTTTCATTATTACTAATCAAACAACTGTGTTTGTTTCCAAGTAGTAGGACTCCTGACATCCAGAACAAAGACACGCCATGGCTCTGTGGTATGTGTATGGGGCTTATGAATGGAAGCCTGAAGACTTAATGTCAAATTCTAGAGAGATAAGCTTACTCTACAGTTGTAGACAGAGTCATTTACTTTTCTTACTTTCCTGTTAGGTGTAAACTCATAAGAGATGTGAGACCAAACAATGGTGTCTAACCTTTTAAAGGTGCCAAAACAACAATTTAAGCCAGCTTTGAACTTTTGATATAAATCTGGCCAACTGATAAATGTCAAATGAAAACATTTAGCCTTTTAATTAATGTCTTGTTTTATTATCAGTATACGTAACCGGACGATTTCTTCTCATTGCCAGCCTGAATGTTCCTTATGCCTTACCCTAAACCTTAACCTGTACAATGGCATCCTTCTTTTAGTATATAACTCATTCTTGAATTGTTATTTATTTCAATATAGTTTCAAAATCCATTCAATCACAAATAAACTGAGCCATAAAATGATTTGAATATCTGAAAGAAATTGTACAGTTATAACATTCCCAGAATAAAATAAAGATTCATAGACTAACAGTTTTTTTATTCAGACTTTCAAATGTGAAAATTCCCCACTGTTGAAACTTCAAAAATCCCTGCCAAGTGTTACTCAACAGTTTGTACCTTAGGACTTAGTGTGCATGTTTAATATTATTGATTATGTGCAGGTTCAGAATAATAATGAAACATTAGTAACATTTCCCAAACAAGAAAAGAAGAACCATTGTCACATTTAAAAACAACATAAATGCAGATAGTTATTTGGCAGTAATTTTGAACTTGTCATTCAACTTTATGTTCCAAAGTTAATCAAACATGTTAACCCCTTATTGATTTTCTACTGTTTCTACTATCAAAGTGGACCTCATGTTTATCAGTTTCTCAACTGCTGCTGGGAAATGGCGTGTATGTGGTTGTGTTGCTACATATGTAAAGAAAGACTACGTGAGGTGAGGTGGGGCAGTGAGAGTATAAAAGGAGGGTTCTGCACAGCGACACTTCACTGACAGCGGATCAGGATCAGGTAGGAGGATGAGGAAGACTCTGCTGTGGCTGCTGGCCTCTCTGGCCTTCGTCTCCCTGACTTCTCTAGCTGATGGAGCTCCATTGTAAGTAGACATTTCGTACCGTTACCCACTCCAGCTCTGCTTGAACCATTTCTCTGAAAACAAAGATATATATTTTTTTGTTTTTGGTCATATTCCTGGTATACACGTTGCTATTGGTTAAATTGTAATGGGATCAATTATTGGTGGTCGCAACATTCATATTATTCAAAAAGCTTTTGGATTTACCTTAACTTGTGTCTTTCATAATGAGGAGCTACAGTCCACTCTGTGTTACAAAATTCAAGGTCATGTGGTGTTTCAAATGATGCCAATAAGTTGGCCTAATGTTAAGAGTTTGCACAACGATGCAAAATGCCAGACAGAGCAAGGGTCTAGACTAGAGTATGATAAAATATTGTGTTGATCCAGTGTTGGATCTTTGTCAATGTAATCAATAGATTACTCATTGTGTGTGCAATCCATGCTGGAGCTCATGATCCTCATCTTTGAAAATAGATGCAGTTTGGGGAATTGAAACCTAAAGTTAAATGTTCTGCTACCCCTTACTGTTCCCTTTAATTATCTTCTTACCAATTGGGTTGATTTATTTGACCACTTTAAGCACATACACACAACTCATGCAGTATCCCATATATTTATTTGTATGCTAACAATTTCCAAAACACATAAACTTTACTATTTGAAACACTTCAAACTCGTCCTGCGAATGGAAATAAACCATGGAGGCATCATTAATTCAAGGTGAGTAGTTAATTTAAAAAAGGTTGTTTTGTGTGTGAATTAATATTTTGAACTCTTTTTTTTCAGTACATCCAAAGCAGCATGTGGTTCTTTCTGCTCGGTCACATCACATTCACATAATGTAATATATATCTTCTTTTCCGCCCCCGCTTTACAGGCAGGTGATGTCTGCCCCCAACTTGTTAAGGGTAGGAACAGCAGAAAACGTTTTTGTGGAGTGTCAAGACTGCACAGGTGCAGACCAAACGGTGCATATCAATGTGATGAACCATCCAACCAAAAACCAAAGGCTGGCAACTGCATCTGTGACGCTTACCAGTACAGATAATTTCCAGGAGCTGGTACAGATAATGGTAAATGATGCGCGATAACTCTGCTGCATGTTCTAAGATGATCTAGTGTTGAATTAAAAAATGCACATAATGTACACACCCTGCTCCTAATGCACTGTTTGTGTTTCTTCATAATGATTTCAGATCCCTACTGGAGACTTCAATAAGGATCCCAGCATTAAGCAGTATGTGTATCTGCAAGCTCAGTTCCCTGACCGACTGCTTGAGAAGGTTGTCCTGGTCTCCTTTCAGTCTGGGTATATCTTTATCCAAACTGACAAGACCATCTACACCCCCAACAGCAGAGGTGAATTCATTATCAATAAATCAAGCAATATTTATTCATAAAGCCCCATATTACAAATTTGAAATGTGGCAAAAGGGGCTGATTAAGAAAATCAGTCCCAATTAATCAGTGAAAAAATAAAAGATATGACTTAAAGGTCACCAATAAGGCAAAATCCACTATTTCATGTATTTTATACTTTAATATGTGTAATATGTTTAATATGTGTAATATGTGTATTTAACCTCTGTGTTAAGAGTTTCAGGAAAAAAATATCTTATCTTTCTCTTTTTGTCCTGGTCCATCTATACTGTATACAAACCAGTCTGAAAATGAGCTGATCAGATTTAGGCCACTTTGTCATGTCACAATGTTTGTTTTGGGTTGTGCAACCATTAGCCAATAACCAACCAAGGTGACACCCGCCCACCTTATCACCTGGATCTCATCCTAGAAGGTTTCCCATTTCTCGAATTTCCCCTCCTCGACTCGTGTCTTAGTCCCGCCCACAGGAGATGTGAGCGGAGGAGTGGAGGAGGGGAACCGAGGAGAGAGGAGGGGAAGCAGCAGGCGGTTAGAGAAATGAGAACTCCTCTCCTCTGAGCGGTCATTTTAAAGAGACGTCCATTAATGATGACAGATGTGTTCATGACGACTTATAGATTTACTTTTAATTCATTGACAGTGCGGTATAATGAGACAATAACAGGCTACAGATGCGGACATATACACACACACTTATTTATATATACAATTTCAGAATCAAACAAGTATGAGAGCACTCTTATAATAACGTAACACGATCAGAGATATATCCTCCCCCCCATATACACACACACACACACTGTACACACACACCTATAGCCTACACTGTACCACGCACACAACTACATCTCCTAAAGCATATAATATTATATCAGGCTAAAGCCGTTGTGTATTTTATTTTATTTTGTGAAGCACTAAATGGTTTTAGAAAAATATCGACTCTTTATTTGTAGATAGGCTATCTACTCAACTAAAGGCATACAAATAAAGAGCGTAATGTAGGCCTGTTATACTGAGTGATATATATTATACACACTGCTCTGCTTTCTCCACGGGCCTCACAGCTGTTCTCTCTGTAAACATCGTGTTGCGATTAAAGCAGTTAATAAAATAATATCCAGGGGATGCTGTTGAGGTTTAGGATGGCAGCTTCTTCTTACGCTGCACTCGGAGAGAAATATTGGAGACGGAGACGATGAACTGTTTAGCCCTTGAGCATGATTTATTCCTCTGCTTCACAGGTGATTCCTTCGCTCAGCCGAGCTAACTTAGAAGAGAACAAACATAGACAGTGTACACGTGCATCAGGTGAACACACCCTCATTTACATGACGCAAGACTAGTCATTACGTAGCACGTAATACTACAGTGCCTCACAGTGGTACAATAACAGTATTACATACAATAACTGAGGACATATGTAAACATTTCCCTCAACAGATGCATGCAGAGCTGTCATTGGCTGAGATAAGTCCGGCCGTGCGTCACGACTCTTTTAAATATCACTGTTGCCGGAAATACATCCACAAAGGATCCGTGGAGGATACATCAATGTTCATTCGGTTATAGCAAGCTCCTCCAGAGAGCCTCCTCGATGGTCGATCCTCGATGTGCATTTAGAGGCCGTTTCTCAATCGCGAGGATGCTGGCTTGGTAGTCGCGTACTTCCAAGTCCAAGTCACTTGTGGCGACTGTGGCTGCGAGGGAGTGCGGTCGTCTTTCAACCAGAAGGTTGTGGGTTCGATCCCAGCCCATGCAGTCAACATGTCGATGTATCCTTGGGCAAGATACTTAACCCTGAGTTGCTCCCGATGGCATGGCCAACGGTGTGTGAATGTGTATGCATGTTAGGTCCTAGAGCAAGTGGTACTGCTCTGTATGAATGGGTGTGAATGGGTGAAAGACATGTAGTATGTAAAGCGCTTTGAGGGGTCTTAAAGACTGCGCTATAGCGCTATATAAGTACAGTCCATTTACCATTTACCATTTACTTCCTTCTGAAACGAAGCCAGTATGCTTCCAAGCCACGGCTACGGAAAACGAAGAAGAATGGAACAGGCAAACAAGTGTGCCACTCTCTCTAACGGTTTCAACATCAACTGAACCGAAAATAAATACCTCACGATGTCTATCTAATTATGAACTTGCTTTACTTTCACGGAACACATTTTTGGTGATAACAAACAAATGTAACAAAGTAACATATTTACCAACACATGTTCTACGCCACTACATACTTACATTTAAATGTGTGCTGCGTCGGTTCAGCCATTCTCCGCAA